TGTTTTAAAGGATCTCTTTGGAAGCAAATCCCTCCAATTTTCTTTGTTGCTTCTGATGGCATGCCTGTGATTGTGGGAACTCAGTAGCACCTGCAGGTATGCTGCAGCAGATTACCATGCTGCTAGTAGTTTTCATGCAGCATTACTGTACCATGGTCAGAAATGGTTGATTACACAGGAGAAGGAAGCGCAGAGCAGTTATTGAGTGTTTAGATAATGCTAGATGGAATATGAGTCTGATTGCCTTTGGCTTAAAAGCAACCTCCTTCCCTGCCTAAAAACCAAAATTCCACCCCTGAAAATATTACAGCTGCCTTCCATGGTAATTTTTTAGTGATTTTTATAGGCTCAAAAATTCTCAGATACAGCTAGTACTTCGTCCATTCGGAGCGAGGTGACACTTCATCTTTCACTAAGATACTTCAGGCTCATTCTCATCCCAAATCCAGTTTCATGCCTGCTATATGAACCTGTAACGTAGGTTATGCAATTAGGAGGAAAGTGTTTGCAGAAATGATAAGGAAAACCTGATAAATGAAATCCGCTCTACACTGTCTGTCACGCTGATGCTATTCCAATAAACACAAACATGTTTTTGTGTACCCAGTTTAAAGAGACAGAGTAACATAATTTATGGCCAAAATTGTCTTTCCTTCCTTGCAGCGCTTATATGTATATAATGCTATACACACCAAAAATATGTTAAGGGAGCATTACTGACATAAAGTAGAGTGCTAAAAAGGCAATGCTATGGTTAGTGTCATAGTTACAGCATTATAGTTAACAGCCATTTTGTTCAGTAACTGGGCCCCTCTCTGTGAATGCGCTATATACAGTCTTTATGCAATTAGGAGCATTTTTTAGGGTGAATGTTTGGTTTTAGGATGGTCTTTTGCTTTCAAGGCAAATGCAGTCAGATTTATATCACATCTGTTATTATCTAAGTGGAGCCTTGTCGTCCAGAGGAGATTTGTCTTATAGAGTGCACAGATTGGGCAGCCTTCAATTTAGGAGTGGATGCAAAATACTTTTCCAAGTGTTGGCCTATAATTTTTTCCTTTTTTCTTTTTTTTTCTTTTCTTTTTTCTATACACTATTCAAACCTTGCTTGGAAGACAGAATCAGTCATTTCCTTGTGGGAATTGTTATTCTGCTCTTTCACTGTAGTTTCTGAGTGCCTCAGAAATGTTAATGTGTTGTTAGCAGTTCTAAGGAGATGATGTGATATCTGCACTTTATAAATCAGGACTGAAGGCCAGTGGTTGAAGCACAGGTCCAAGAGTGTTTGCTAATTTGGGGGGGCCCCTGTTCAATGATCTGATTTCTTGGACTAATGCATTTTGTGTGATCAAGGCACATTCCCTGTTGTTGATTTCAGTGGCATTAGTGAGTGCTCAGGAGCTCTGCAATCTGGGCCTCAGGGCTTGAAACTGAAGACCAAAGATATAAGGAATACTTACTTGGTGACCATGATTTGGTGAATCATGATTTAGTGTTCCCTAGTGCTCCCTAGCAGCACATAAAAACTGTGGAGCAGCGGCAAGCATACAGTACTTTCTCCAAGGATGATGCTCATTTCCAGTTGTCCGGAGCCTCTTTCTTCTGATTCTACTGTGCCTTTGAATATCTGTAACAAATGAGGCAGCGCTCCAGTGAGTGATGGTCTCTCTAGCTGCACTTCTGATCCTCAGAAGAGATACCTACCGGCAAGTTAGAAAACAGATCATTTATTTAAAGAGGATACTCAGAGAAAACAGTCCAAACCACCTCAGCTTTGACAGCCTGTCCCAAGTTTTCCTTGGTTTTGCATGCAATAGGATAGTCTATGTATACATTTAAAATGTGCCCATATTTTTTCTTACAGCAGTCATCTGATGAGACTACCTGAGTCAGTCTCTTCCTTCAGCTTAATATCCTGCTACACTACTCTTCTACTTGAAAACAGCTCATCTTTGCTCAAAACTGGTCTGTAGTGTCAGTTCAGTGACATTAGTTTACTACACTGGGTGGTGTTGCTGAGAATGTAAAACTATCCCATTAGCCTGTTTGCAATATAAAACAGGGTTCTGCATTTTACAAGCTTATGCAGTGTAGTTAGATTCTGGCAAGTGTAAAGGAAAAAGGTGTTAAGGAGAGCTGGCAGCTCTTTAAAGAAAAGATATTAAGTGCAAACTCTTCCAATAGGGAGGAAAGTTAAGGAAGTGCAGTAGAAGACCAGTGTAGCTAAATTGTCAACTCTTCATGGCCCCTGAAGAGAAGTATTTTTTTTTTTTTACAGAGTGGGAAGTAGGTCAGATTTCCGAGAACACAGATAAAAAAATAGCATGTAGGGACAATAAAATCGGAAGTCTTGAGGCACAAAATGAGATGAAAGTATCCAGGTGTGGAACAGGTGGTAAGAACTCATTTTTCATGTACATTAGTAATGAAAGAAAGACTGAAAGAAAATGTTAGAGGGTGAAATGGAAAGGCATTGGAAGGCCAAAGTGTCTTTGGTTTGTTTGAGTCTTTCCCAGTAAAGTGGATACTGCTGCTCCTGACAACATGGGGGACTGTACTGCCACTGTGACCCTGGGCAGGCAGGCAGGGACCTGGGTGCCAGAAGATCTCACATGGACAAATGTCTCTTTACAGCCTGGTATCTACAGAACTGTACACCTTCCGCTCCCACCCACCAATTTTAGGATGGTTTGTCTGGAGGCCATTGCTGTACAATATCTGAAATACTGATTGAAGATGACTTGCAAAGTGTTTGGGAACAGTTCACTGTCGGAAGGGATGCATGAGCTGGGAGGATCCCAGAGGTGGCTTCCTTGCAAGTGCTATTCTGTACTTTTGTTAATGGGTTAGATGATGGCACTGGGTGTGATAACAATTTATATAGAGGGCACTAAGCTGATAAGGATGAAAGATGCCATGAAAGAAAGGGATACAATTCAAAGTGGTCTTGATCCATTGGAGATATAATCATAAAAAGAATGGTCACAGTTCAACAAGGACATATTCTATATGCAACCGTGTCCTGGGCTGCATCAAGAGAGGTGTGACCAGGAGGTTGAGGGAAGTGATCCTGCCCCTCTACTCGGCTCTTGTGAGACCCCACCTGGAGTACTGCATCCAGCTCTGGGGGCCCCAGTACAGGAGAGACATTGAGCTGTTGGAGGGAGTCCAGAGGAGGGCCACGAAGCTGACTGGAGGGATGGAGCACCTCTCCTATGAGGACAGGCTGAGAGAGTTGAGATTGTTCAGCCTGGAGAAAAGGCAGCTCCGGGGAGATCTAATTGCGGCTTACCAGTTTCTGAAGGGGCCTACAGGAAAGATGGTGAGGGACTGTTTATGAGGGAGTGTAGTGACAGGACAAGGAGTAATGGGTTTAAGCTGAAGGAGGGGCAATTTAGATTAGATGTTAGAAAGAAATTCTTCACTGTTAGAGTGGTGAGGCACTGGAACAGGTTGCCCAGAGAGGTTGTGGAGGCCCCATCACCGGCAGCGTTTAAGGCCAGGTTGGATGAGGCTTTGGGCAACGAGGTCTAGTGGAGGTGGTCCCTGCCTGTAGGAGGGGGGTTGGAACTAGATGATCTTTGAGTTCCCTTCCAACCCAAACCATTCTATGATTCTATATATGACTCTTAGGAGTAACCAACTTTAATGATAAAGGCTGGGGAATAACTTCCTAGGGAGTAATTATTCAAAAAAAGTCTGAGAGTTGCAGGGAACCACAAACTAGTATATGAGTCGATGTTGCCATGCTGTGGTATGTAGTATTTTGGGGTGAATAGAGAGAAATATAGCCTGCAGAACACATGAAAAAAATCCCTCCTTGGTTGGAGTACCATGTAAAGTCATAGGGACTATACTTTGAGAGAGATGTAAATCAACAAGACTATGCAGAGGGACATCAAAGGGACTGAACAAATGGTCCCAGATAGCATGACTGATAAGTGTTATAGGTTATTATAGCTTTCTGCATGTATGGGCTGCTACAAAGAGGGAGAGAATAACCTGTTTTCTATGCCCGTGTTAGCACAAAAACTGAAGACCACAAGTTCCAGCAAGAGAGATCATGCCTTCATGGTAAGAGTAGTTCAGCACTGGAAGACTTTGCGTGGGGATGTTATTGAATCTCCCTTTTATGGAGGCTTTCAAGAACAATTAGGAAACATCCTCTGGCAGTAATACAAATTTCAGTAGATTACATTATGGGGCTGAACATCTCCTGACACCTCTTCCAGGTGTAACTGCGTTGTTTTCTGGCATGCTTCCTCTTTCATCTTTTTTATCCTTTTACTCCTTGGTGAATAACACTATTGTCTGGATAGGAATTTCTTAGTTGAGGGGTGGGGTGGGGAGAAGGAAATGATTAAAATTTAGTAAATCCATAGCAGTCATCTTGGTACAGAACTTCATGGGGCAGTGCTTTAAACTACTATGTTTGACTAACTGCTGAAGCTGTAAGAGTCTCAGGCCACAACTTCTTAGTGAGAGCGTTCCTTATAGACAGAGTATGGACTGGAACTTGCTTTCTAATCACTGTATTTTCTGAAGACTTTTAAAATGCATATAACAGTCTGACATAGCAGCTGTCACCAGAAATCGTGTCCCCCACCGACACCACGTGTGGTGCGTTGGCACTCATGTCACATGGAGAAGGAGTGTTGACAGGTCCTCTTGCTAGTCACCTTAGAAAGGGAGGAAAGAAGCCAGGGTTCAGCAAAGGGGAACTGGCAATTGCAGGAGAACACCGGGAACAGCAGTCTGAGCAAGGGGCTACTGGACTGGCTCAGTGCTTTTGTGTAAGTCCAAGACGAAATGCATGCAGCAAAAGAGAAATTTTCTCTAACCTCATCCATGTTTAGCTTGGTGTTTGGGACTGATTCAAACCTCTCTTGTTGTGGGACAGCAGTGCAATGCCTTCGTGGCCAGTCTTTCCAAGTTCCAGAGTCTTGAGTAGCTCTAGTTGCATTTGTCTTAAAACCGAATCATATTTTCTTTTGACTTAGAAGCCAAGCTTGATTTCCAAGCCAATGCTCGACAGCATCCTTTGTCTTCGTGATGACAGATGGAAGTATGTCCGGAGCCTCCTGACCCCAGCCTTCAACGATACCAAACTGAAAGAGGTAAGGTGTAGGCTGTGTTGCTTTCCTAATTTAGAAGATATAATTGTTTTCTTTCATGCAAGCATCTACTTACATAGCTCTATATTCAGAACAGGCAAAAAACTACTACTTTGTGCCAGTTTATTTAGACCTGAAGAGCACTTGCAGTGGAGAGTACATACAGTGTGGTCCAGGTCATAGATTTGTGAAAATCAGAATAGTTCATCTGAGAGTATGATCCTCTGTCTTTATATAAACCAGTTTGTCCGTAAAAGTGTAGCAAACTCAAAAAGGACTTTACACCTTTACCCTCCCCACACCCCTCCCCGCCCTGTTAAGAGTAAGCTAAAATACAGGAGAGGTTATTGCTCCCAGTTGGAACATAGCTTTTTGTGATTTGCAGAGTCAGCAGCTCTCACGTTAACACGGGAACTGCTGTCAGTCTATTTTCATTTCTCCATCTCCTTCCCCCCCCCTCCTTCTTTTATTCTTTAATCCTTTCATATAATAAAATAAGTCACTGGAACAGAATGTCATATTCCAGATAAATACCTCTGACTGAAAATAAATGTCTCCGCACTGACCTGCTGCTAATTTCCTATAAATGTCTCAGCATTTACTTAGCCATGGGAACCCATTACCCGGTAACAAAGTCATATTCCAGTGGCACAATATCTCTTAATTAAACCCAGATAAATGATTGACTGCTTAAAGTCTTCTTTCAAGGGGGGAAAAAAACCCAACAACAAAAAACACACCTCTTCCTTTATGTATTTTATTCTGAAATGGAACCATGCCTCACTCCGGTGCCCAGTCCTGGGTTGTAAAATTTTCCACTGGGCAGACGCTTGTGTTGTTTTGACATGCCGCTGTCGAAATCCACAGTAACATCTAAATGTGTCTGGCTCTCCCAGCTCTATAGACAGCGGTCGCTTAGCAACGCCGGCTGTCACCTCCTTATTATGGTAAATTCTAATTGGCCGCCAGCCTGGCGGAGATACTGATTAATCACGACTGACAATGCCATTGGTTATGCACCCCGACATTTGCTCTGTCACTGGCTCCATCGCGAAATTTTAGCGAGGCGAGGATGTTTAAATATGCAAGCGATTAGTTGCTCATAGCGTTGCAGGGAGAGGAGAGTTTTGCATTTTCCTAGCGGAAATTAATCTGCCTTACTGCAGGTCATCGGCTCTTTGCTGGCGGACTAACAAAAGATAAAGCCGCGCTCCCCTCAACTTGCGAAGACCAACCTCTGCCAGCACCAGCTGGGCAGACTTGATGGAGGACGGTGGTGAGGGCAAGCAGGCGGAGGTCCTGGGCATCGTGCTTTGGGGCCGGGCAGGCACGGGTTTGCAGGTTTTGACCGATTAAACCAAGGTGGGAGGAGAAGTCGCGGTGCTCACTTTGCACTGCTTGGTGGTGGAGCTGCAACGCAGGAGTAGTGGTAGGAGGTAAAATGGAGGGCTGGCTAGTGGCTGGTAGCCGTCTCACATGCAAAAATTGAAATCTTCATTTTTAGCGTGATAACCAGCTTTCCCTGGGCTGCCTCTTCCCAAACTCTGTGGAAGGGGTGCAGTTGTGAGTAGACTCAGGGTGACCTGGAAATGGTCGCTTTCTCCTACCAGTCTACAGAAGGTGGGAAAACAAGGAGTGGGGAAGGTCTCTGTGAAAGGCCTAACTTTGTTCCTCTGTCCCATGTCTTCACCAGAAGACCGTCCATCGATACATAGAGAGACGCTTGCAGTAAGCCCATGTGAGATTAAGAACCTCTTTTGAATGGATGCACTCCTCAGCCTCGCATTGCATTTTCTATCCAAATACATGAACAGTCCTGGGATTTGAAGTTAATGCAACTTAAGTCCTCGCCCATGTGCTTCTCTTCCTGTTGCTTAATTTAGAAGCCATACCAACACTTCTCAAAGGAAATCAATGCTCATTAATTATGATCTCACTTTTTAACTCTCCCATATTTAGTACTCTCTCGGAACCTCTACAGCAGCATGGAAATAAAAATACTGTGTTCTAGTATTGGCCATACTACAGAGTATTCAGAGTTATGTAGAAGCATCCTGTTTATTATAAACTCTTCCTCTCTATCTCAAAGGAGTTACAAATAAGCTACTTTTGGTATTAATTTATTGCATAAGAACCTGGATATGGTTTTTTATACATATTTATAAATACTGCTAGACACATTCCTCATTTCTTCTCCTAAGACATTGATTCCTTTGCCACAGAGATCTGAGCTCTGACAAAAACCCCATACCGAAGTCTTCCTCTCTGTTCACTCTGGATGTCTGCCTTGCCTCTGTGCCCCTGTGCAAACTCCCCAGTGATGCTGGAGAGACTGCAGACCTCCCAAGTGGCTTTGGAGAGTGGCTGTCCTTGAGCACCACAGTGCCTAGTGCCGCTGCAAACACAGACTTGTCCGTCTGGATGCTCTGAGAGAACTGGGAGCTATTAGCCTGTGACAGAGCAATAAATGTTAACAACTCCTTGTGCTCCCCATAGCAATCACTTCAGATAAAAATGTGCACAGAGGGCCAGAGAGTTGAGTGTAGGTTCCTGATATCTCCATTTCACAAACACAAGAATCTACTACTAGGCTAAAGGACAGCTTCAGCACCAGCAGCACAAAGAAGCCGGTCTTCCACTCTTTGGCCTGGCTGCTGGAAGATGAAACCCAAGACAGAGCTAATGAATGTTGCTAAGGTTTGACCCATAATGCCCCACAGAGGCATCTCGGTGCTGTGGCTGGGAACAGAGGTGTACTTTGCCCTTGTGTCTCCACGGAAGTGATGTAGCGTCACTGAGAAGTTCACTAAGCCTGAGGGATTTCCCCGTAGTCTGGCAAAAATCTCCAGCAGACAGTCACCCAATGAGGAAAAGTTGATCCCAGCAATTTTGAAGTTTGCAAAGTTACGAGCAATTAACTGAAAGCAGAGGTTATAGAGCTGTTTGGTAGCTAGTGTAGTGATTGGTGTGTGTATGCAGAGAGTTGTTTGCCTAACATTTTTCAAGATTTTTCTGGCATCTTCTCCAGCTTGCTTTCTCTGTCTCCTCAATTTCTCTTTAAAAGCTGTGCACCATTTCACTGTTGCTTTTATGGATTTCTATAAATTGCATGTTCTCCTTTTTCAATTTTCTTTTTCTAACAAGTATGTAAAGGTTAGTAAAGCAGTCCACTCCAACCGAAGGAAGGTTTGGCTCCAGGTAACATTAAATTCAAATACCATAGTGGTGAGCATAGCACAAATCAATAGACTTCTAAGCTTGATCCTGCAATAAGATTTGGTAGCATCCCACATGAGATGCCACTGGAGTTGCTAATAAGCTTTTTCCAGTGAGACCCCTGAATGGACCTCTTAGTGCCATTGCTATGAGGGCACTAAGAGTGAGAAATGAGAGACAGGAGACCCAAGAAGTTTCACTTCCAGCTCTGCCACTGACTGCCTGTGGGTGATCTGGCAGAAGCTACTTAAATTCTCTGTGCATGAAACTATTTTCATGTGTTAAATGGGAATAGTACTGACCACTGAAAGTTGATACAAGATGTAATTCATGAGAAATTGGTGAAGTAAAATACCTGGAGGTCCTTAAGTAAAAGATGCATTTCCCGGTGTTCCTGTCATGCTTTCCTCAGCAATTATTGTATTGAAACAAGCTGATACGTTAGTGATCTTGCTGTACCAATCTTGATTCCCTATTTAGTATTTCTTATTTTGTTCCTCTTCTTTTTGCTGTGGTGCCTGTGATGATCCTGCAGTTCTGGACCCCTTGTCAGACTTGATAAATAGCTTTGCTCTCTTTTACAGCCAGCACCAGCAGAAAACCTATTGATTTTTATTTATTCTGATGGTGCTGCAGTAGTCTTGTCATCTCCTATCAGTATGCCAGGAATCCTCTCCTCCATTAACCAACCATTAAAACAAAACAGAACACAAAAATTAAAGAAAAGAGCACAGCATAATGTAACATTGTCCCCAAACCCCTGCAAAGTGGAGTTTGCATTGAGGCATTTTCTTTCAAACAAAGGGAGACACAAAGCAGAACTTGTGATAACATGGCAGAACAGTGCAGGAAAATCTTCTAGTGTCTTTCAGGCATGTAGATCTTCCAGGTCGCAGTAGAACATAAGATCTGACAGCTCAACCATTGAGGTTTCCTTGATTTGCTCTTACTCTGTTTCTTGGTGAGAACCATTTTGGACGGGTCTCTGGAAATTGCTATTGTTACTCAGCAAAGTGAGCGTGCTCACCTGAGACAAAGCAAATCACTAACGTAAAAGCCGATATGTGGAATGTGCGTATCCTTGAGCCACAAGTCAGTGCCCAGTTGAGTTGCTCACTTTGGTAAGTTGTGCCCATGAATAGCAGGGCCTCACTGTGAGGTGATGGAAACAAATCTTCTCACAAACATCTTCATGACACTCTGCTCTTTTCCTGGTTTTAGTCAGGGACTTGAAATCTGGTACAGAAGCAGTTCTTATGATAGGGATGTATTCTTTTTCCTTCTCCTTCCTTTATAGTTCATCCCATTTGTGCGACAAGAGGCCAAACATGACCTCTGCATACTAAAGATGAACAGAAAAGGCTCCAGTGTGTCTGTTTACGGTGAATATGATCCAGCCTTCTACTTTATAGTTTGGGTGCTAATAATAAGAGGAGTAATAATAGTGAATGCTGAGGACTACATCTAACTAGAAGAACATGACTCCAATGCCTTTGAACAGTGCAAACATCCCCATGAACTGTGCATACGCAGAATCAGAAACTAATTGTTGTTATGTGCCAAATAGCATATTGGCAGGATTTATACAGCAAAGCCCCTGGCATCATGAAAACCCTAACCCCAAATGCTCTTCTTTGGCAGAAAGAAAGAAATTTGGACTCTGGGCTACTCTTGCTATTAGATAACTGGCAGATCAAATATTTACAGGGACCATATTGTTTAGATTTTTCTTCATCCTGTTACCCTCAGCCAATCTGAACACAGAGCAGCTGGGGTTTGTTTACCCACCAAGAACTGAATCTCAGGCAGGTTATGCAGCTTTTATGTTCTGACTGGCAAATGAGAATGTATAGGAAGTTGGTGATACCCAAGGCAGTACAGATCAACATGTCTGTTTCTGTGCCGGTTTTCAAAGTTTGGTATAGTTCACCTCCCCCAACACTACTTTATTTTTCTTGACAATTGAACAAAGAGTTTAAAGTGTTAAGGGACTTGAGAATGTTTCAGTCTGCGGTCTTTGTAGTTAGCAATCTTGGACTAATTTATGTCCCTCAGGGGAATAAAAACCCAAACCCAGGATTCCTGAGTAGATATCCCCTGTAGCTTTCATATGCAAATAATTGTCTCGTTGATATGACTCTGTCCTATCATGCTAACAATAAATCAAATCCATGTGCCCCCCCCCCCCCCATTTTTCTGGTTAGATTTACTGATAAAAATGTCTTATGGGTAGAAATTAATTGCAACGGTATTTTGAAATGCTGGTGGAAAGTGGAAAGTGTAGAGGTGCTGTGAGATGCCCTGGCCAGACGTACGTGCCCCTGCCATCTCAGCCAGCTGTTGGAAAGCAATAGCAACCAGCTGGCTGTTTGCAGGTCTGGTGATGTGATGAAGAATAAAAGAGAAAATAAGGCAATAAAAGGAAAATCTGAAATTATCACCATCTGTTTAGGAAACATCATACCTGTTAAAATATGGATTTTCATTTTGTTCTCCTTGACTGGTTCAGTTCATTGGAGGGGCTGCACCCAGAGATTATAAAGCATTTCACCCTGGTTCAATCTGTTGAACAGTAATGTATTAATTTTGTTGAGCCATTTGAGAAGAAGCTCACTGCAGGGGACCTTCTTTAGAAAGCCAAAAGGGGAAGAAAACTGTCACATAACGTGGTGTACACCTCCCCAACACATAACAGCTACTTTTACCGAATACTAATCTGGCTTCAGAATTCTCTTGTGAGACTGTGGCAAAGCCAAAATCAATCTGGCTTTGTACTGAAATAACGACAACCTGCTCCGTCCCGTATAGGTACGGGACCTCGAGAGCAGCTAGACGCATTCTTGACTCAGACTTCTGCCTTTGGAAAACGTGTCGGATGCTCCCGCGTTGGCCTTTTGACTGCGTATAGTATTGCCCATGTGTTAGGATGGCAGTGTGCCTGTGCACAAAGTGTTATGCCAGTTTCACAGAGGTAGGAGTGCCAAGCAAAATGGACTTGGCTGGGCAGGCTGCATAGCTCTCCGAGTGTGCTGAGAGGCTGCAGTAAGTCTTTTTTGGTAACAAGAATGTCAGAGGAGTAGGACAAGTCTATTCTCATGTTTGTTGACATCCGTATGCTGAAGGAGGTTGTTCGGGAAGGAAAGGCAAGTTTCTGTGCATATGTCTGCTGATGCTTGGCATAATTGTTGAGGCAAGACTGTGGTATTAAATTGTAGGCTACAAGGATCTCTCAGCAGTCTATATGGAGAAAGAGCCATAGAGATAATGCCTTTGGGGTCACAGCTGGATTGTTGCTGCACCCTTCCTTTGCCCCCTTGTAGGAGTAATCAAGGCAAGTGTCTGATGCCTTTCATATGTAAAAAGCTAAAGAGAGAGAGAGAGAATTTAATGAGGTCTTGAAGGTTGCTCATGTCATGGTTTCCAAGAGGAGACAATTGCACTGTTAGCTACAGCCAGGCTGTGGGTAAGTCTACCTGACCATCATGTGTCAGTGACTGGAAAGAACCATTAGCTGCATAAATTCATGTGAATGTCCATTTAATGGCATCTCCACTCCGGAAAACCCTTTCCTCAGGTAGCAACAGCAGTTTGCCCTCAGCAACTTGTAGTGGTATACATGGTGCTTTTCTAATGTACACATTAAATCTCTCAAACTGGGGGACAGCAGGATGGAAATGCTGGGCCTCTGATGCTAATATCTTTACAGCACTTTGGGACTATAGAAAATATTATTCCTTCTGCCCTGGAGTGTATGTAACCTAAATGTAATGTACTGTAAATATGGATCGTGATAAAACATCAGTTGGAACAGGGAGTGATTAAAAAGAGAGGGGGATGTCTTTGCTTGATAGCTCTCTGTATATATAGCCACAGGTGGGCAAGAACCAAAGGTCAGGTAAGCAACAGCGCCTCTTGTGTTTAGGCCCAGAGCTGGAGAAGGGCATGCCTGTAATGTGTAGGTTTATTTTTAGCAGAAAGTCGCAACATTTCATCTTATGTGTGCAAAAGTGCCTGATCACACCTGCAGAGGATCTTGAGAGCTCTGTTCCATCAACTGGATAAAACTATTTTTGAATAATTGATTTTTTTTTTAACATTTTAATGTTTTTCACAATACAATGTGTTCCTTTCTAGATGACACCGCTAATAAACCAGGCCTGTGACGTCCTGCTGTGTAACTTGAAAGTCCATGCAGATTCTGGCAAAGCTTTTGATATCCAGAGGTATGGTCAACATGCCAGAAATTAGTAGCAGATTTAAAAAAAAAAAAAAAATCAATAGCAGCAGTTACTCTAAATATGCGCTTACTGTATAAAAGAAGATTTTTTTTTTTTTCCCCTCACTTTTATAAGTGGAGATCAGAGTTTAATAGAGGATGTGTCTGATAGATGCCTCTTCTTCCTGGGGGCAGCCATTGCATACTTGAAAAGTAATTTTGGAAAAGCATCTAATGTATTTCTAGCTGTTGTTTAATGATGTTTTAACAGCTGGAAGCAGAAAGGAAAGCTGCATCAGTCCCTGTCCAGTCTGCTCTCTGCAGTCTGCCAATAATGTACAAATATAGGAATTGATCTAGTATCAAATCCCTCTAGTCCATCACCCTCTTACTTTTTTTTTCATATGAGGTTTTTTGAGCACTTAATAATTCTTACCACATTCGTCCTAACCCCCTCTAATGGCACACTAGCCTTTTGTGAAATGACGGGATTGGTACTTCAGATGAGAATGCACCATTGATTTATAAAATGACACTTTAATATTTTCCATACTGTGCTTTCTCCCATTTGTTATGCATTTAATATCCTATTATGTTTTTTGTTGCTCTTTCATCAGAGGTCTTCACTGAACTGTTCACAACACTGTCTAGTCCCTTCTCTGAGCAGATGCATTTCTTCTAGAACCCTGTACGGCATATAAGTAGTTCAAATGCATTCTTTCTAATAGGCACTATTTTGCATACATTTCATTTGCTAGGTTGGTCAGTGCCCTCTGGAGTTCTTCATGATTTCCTCCAAACGGCAGCATTGAAAATAACTTTGTTTGATCTAAAGAGACAGATATTTAGCCACAATTCATCCATCTCCTTTCAAGTATGTGCACAAGTGTGTGTGTGTGCACAGAGATCTCTTTATTAAACATCTGAAGAGATGCGATGAAACCTTGAGATACATTATGCTTAGCCTAGTGCTCTGATGAAAATTGACCTTTTGAGTCCTTCCAGGCTTTTCCCTTTTTTCCATTTGTCCTTTTTCTTTGCCTGGTCTTTTAGCTATTGATCCATGATAGGGTTTCACTTCTCAAGAGGCCCTTTGGAAAAGACCTTTTGAAAGTATAAATGATGTTGACTATCTCAGAATATGATCTTCCAGTTATTTTATCATACTACCATTTCAGCAAGTTTGACATATATAAATGTGATACTCATTGCTCTGTAGTTTCCCAGAATTTACTTGGGAGCTATTTTTTGGATGTAAATACCCTATCTGCAACTTCCTGTTGTCTTGTACGTTAGTTGTCCTTAGCCATTTTGTGTTTCACCAACAACTCAAAATTTAGTTTTCAAGCTTTTTCAGTAGCTTGGAGAGGTAGATGATCAAGTGCTTCTTAAATTATTGTTTTATTGCAGTGCCCCCTCTTTTAACATTCCAACTTCTACTAATGGTTTTTTTTCTTTGTGTGTAAGAGTTCAAAACCCAGAGAAGTTACTTAGCTTTGTAGTATTGTTGTTATCTTCCAAATCTGCTTTGGTGTCATCAGAATGACAGTGCCCAAAGATCATAGTTTAGAAATGCTGCTTCACAATGTATATACAGGATATACTGGGCCTGAGTCTGTCCTTCTCTTAGTACATGCTCGCTCAGGTTAAAACACTAGAGAATTTGATATTAGCCTTTTGTAAGGGAACATAGAAGAATAGTCATCGCAGACTTGACCACAGATCAGAAGAATCAAATTTCAAAGATATTTTACATTCTCAGCCCATTTATCTCAAAACTAAATATAGCTTCTAATGCCCAGTAGACACAAAGATGGTGAGACAACTGGATAGATGGTCAGATACACAGGAAGAGATTCAGTAAGTTCTGAAGTTTCTAGATCATGGTCCACAGATCATTTGTAGTTCTCAAAGCATTTGCTGCTCCTCTGCAGAGATACAGATTTCATATGGTTTCAGTTCCTCTTGGTTTTGACCACAATTTTACATTACAAAGGAGCTATCAAGAAGATGAAGGAAATCGTTAACAGGAAATTTTACTTAAGCACCTGTTGTCACTGAGAGTTTCGACTGGACTGGTAGTAGATGTGGTTTCTGCAGTTTAAAACAAGAAAGAAATTATGTCTTTTATTAGGATGCATAATTAGAAAATGCTTATGAATCCCTGACCTGTTGCATTTGATCTCTAGGTAATAACAAATGAAATTGTTTATTTTTTTATAATTTTTTTTGTGGAATTTATTGAGCTATATGAAAATATGTTCACTTTGTAGACGGAGATCATTATTAAGCACCAGCATTTGTCAGAATGATGGAAACATCTCTTGTTGGCAAAGCTCAAATCTAAAAGCAAAAAGAAAATCAGAGGCAAAAAATAATGTTATGTAATGTTTGTAGGAGCAAAATATTAATGGATATGTAATTTGTAAGTAATGATTTATCATTCTTCAACTTAATGCAGGTGTTACAACTGCTTTACCTTGGATGTCGTTGGTAGCGTAGCTTTTGGTACTGAGGTGGATTCTCAGAAGAATCCTGACGACCCCTTTGTTAAGAATTGCAGAACATTCTTTGAAATGTCTTTGTTTAGGCCTCTCCTCATTCTAATCCGTGAGTATAGTCTACTTTTGTCTACTTCTTTATGTTAATTTTCTAAAAGTCATTCTCAAATTGCAAAATACGCTGAAGCAGGAGGATGTATAGCAGACTTTATTTCAGAGGCGTTCAGAATGCAACCTACAGGCCAAGCATGCCCTCAAGATTTCCACCATATGCTTTACAGCTCTTGTCACCATTAATGCAACTTCCTCCAGAAAATGAGAGTCTGGGAGGGCAATGCTCCAGGTTGATCTGAGTGGAAAGTTTCTGGAACCTGTAGTTTCTATGACACCTCTTTTAATACACTTCTGCATTAAAACAGAGTAACCGCCCTTCAGAGCCTGAGTGAAGTTTCTATGCACTCAGTTTGCTTGGTAGAGATTTAAATCCCACCCATAAACAACAGTGGTTGTTAATAACCAACTAAAGAACAGAGGTGGAAGAGCATAAGCACATAGTATAAGTCCTCCAAATTCTTATTTGAATAGCAGCAGCAGCCTGGTTGATGGCTATAAAGGATAAAGATGGTAAGTGCCAGTACAGGCTGGCAGTAAGAGAATGCATTTATTTTCAGGTGAGTAGATAGGGAATACAAGAATGGTGTATAAAGCCATTTAGTTCTAGGCCATGAAAGCTAAGGCTTCATGGTGACAATGGCCTTGTTAATGCAAGGGCAGTGAGAATTGTAGCTGAGGAAGCCACAGCATAATCAAGGTTTTACCATCTCGTTATCTAGATCTGCTCACAGTAGTGTCAGGTGGCACAGTGGCAAAGTTTCCTGTGCCCATCTGATCCTGCTGGCATTACAGATTGCACCTGTACTAGCAGCACATGAACTGTTTCCTTCTGGAGCCGTGTATCCAAAATGTCCTGTTTAACCTGATGGCAAGGTGTGATTTGTGATTAATTTCTGAAGGAACAGAGATGTGCCCCTCTATGTCTCAGACCACATCCTTCATTAAAGTTTCTGTAGGGTTTGGGGTTGGATTCCTTGGTTGACCTCTTTCTGCTGGTACATTTTGTGGTCTGAATTTCCACACTCTATTGCTCTGTTGGCAGCACGGGTTTTTTCTGATGACTGATTTGTTAGTTTTAAGCTGTTCATAAGTTAATGAAGGGTTTATTAAGATGCAAGACTTCACTTAGGTTTCTAGTTCCTGATTATGAAGACCATGGACTGGAGAGCATCCTTGTGATAACATCCCACTTCCAGAGTCTGTGGCCTGTTTAGAGAAGCAAAATAAAATAGAAAACCAATATCCTAATATTGGAGAACTGTAAATGAGAATGACTACTACACAATTTCATGCATCAGTGCCATAAGCTCCTAGGCTAGTTCAAGATCCCCCACCTTCTCTATGCGATTGATTGAGTAGGCAGGGAAAATAATTCTCCCCTTTGTTGTGGTGGATCTGTGGCATCAAGAAGCTGAACTGAAATCCTGAAGCATTGTGGCAGCAAGCTTGGAAGCCACCTGTCTGGCAGAGGAGTCCTGGCCAACATGGAATTTCTAAAAGGAAATCCTTTACCATCCTCTGAGGATGGAAGAAAAAGAGGGAGAGGAGGAGAGAAAGAGGAAAAACCAGGTTTCACAAACGTAACACATCCCACTTGATGAGTGTTAGAATATTAATGACAGGACGGGGATATCATATGCTTTAAAGTCTGATTCAGTGTTTTCCTCTTTAAAATCTCTTACAGTTTCTTTCCCATTCATAATGATCCCATTGCTCAGGATTTTGCCAAACAAGAAACAAAAGGAACTGAATGGATTTTTTATCCAAACCATAAAAAATGCAATTGTCTTCAGAGACCAGCAAGATGCAGCTGAGGTAAGGCTATTTCTGTGATAAATATATGGATAAGCAAATGTTTGGAGGAAAAACTGGAAGTGGCATAAGACTCAGTTGAAAAAGGAAACTCAGTCTGTTTGAACATTCAAAGCAATTTTGTGAAAATTTTATTCATTTTTAGCTTTATGTACCATCAACCAAGCTTGGTGCTGATGCAGAATTGTTAACACGTAAGAAAGATTGCTTCTCTCAGTATTTCTGTTCAAAGAAGGATGCAGAAAATGTTACATCTGGGATGACTTTTCAACCCAGTTTCTAGACCCAGAAGGAAGGATTCGCCCTGTAGAATTTTTTCTCATCTTGAAGTCAGGTGTTTTGTCTATGCTACTTTCCCTTAACGACCAGAGGAAAGGGAGCCCCCACTGAGTGTTTCAACCCAGTCATTACCTAGGAGCTGAGGCAGGTTTTATATAGTCCTGTGACAGTTCCTGCTGCTTTTGAAAATGGAAAGAACCTGAACGTCTGGTTAAGAGCAGACACTTGATATTGAGCTGGCTAAAGAGAAAGGTAGTAGATTCTACCAGAAGTATTCAAACTAATGAGTATGCATTATCAGCAAATCATTTGTTACCCATGTATTTCTCTTTCGTCTGGACATAAGGCTGTTCTGGTTTGTTTGGGGTTTTTTTTTTGTTTTGTTTTAATCATTGCTTTATGAAGTATCTGAAGGCACATGCATTTTCATGAAAATCTCTCTATTTTTGATATATGAAGTGTTTGAAACACAGGCATGTGCTTCAGTTCTGTGATGCAAAAGTTCTTCAGGTCTGCTTGTCCTTTTGGACCATTATTTACTGCAGACTGCACATATTATCCCTAAAAATAAGTTAACAACTTAATTATGAATGTGTAGTGAGAAATAAAGAATATCAATGAGAATTCCATTTTAAAGATAACTGAGACAAGTTTTGCATGTCAGTTGGGATGAAACACGCTACAATATACACATTAAGAAGCTGTTAATATTGAAATATAAGAGATCTTTCTTACCACTTTGAGATGAAGAACAATTCTGATGGGGTAACAGCACAGGTGAGAATGGATCCTCCCAACTTTTTCTCATAGCTTAGCCCCACAGCTGTCACCTTTCAGGAAAAAATGGATTTTAGTTTATTTTACATCCACGATACATTTCAAAATCAAATTGGTTTTACAAGATACTGCTGCTCTTTGCTGTGTTACGTGTTCTGCTCTTTGACTTTTTCTACAGTGAAGTCGCACTTTTGTATTTGTTGTGCTTTATCACTACATGCTTCTTGTCTTTCCTGCAGCTCACCTTTATGAGTCTTTGCCCCCACTAGCCTTTAGGTCTTTGTCTCCGTCCTTCTTTTACATCCAAAAGGTTTTATGTACCACTGACTGACCACAGCCAACCATATCCTGGGCTGCAACAAAAGAGGCGTGACCAGCAGGTCGAGGGAGGCGATTCTGCCCCTCTACTCTGCTGTCATGCGACCCCACCTGGAGTACTGTGTCCATCTCTGGGGCCCCCAACATAAGAAAGACATGGAGCTGTTGGAGCGAGTCCAGAGGAGGGCCATGAAGATGACCAGATGGCTGGAGTACCTCTCCTATGAAGACAGGCTGAGAGAGCTGAGGTGGTTCAGCCTCAGGAGAGGAGAAGGCTCCGGGAAGACCTTATAGCAGCCTTCCAGTACCTGGAGGCGGCCTACAGGAAAGCTGGAGAGAGACTGCTTACAAAGGCGTGCAGTGATAGGACAAGGGATAAAGGCTTTAAGCTGAAGGATGGCAGAGTTGGATTAAACATAAGGAAGAAATTCTTTACTGTGAGGGTGGTAAGGCACTGGAACAGGTTGCCCAGAGAGGTTGTGGAGGCCCCATCCCTGGAAGTGTTCAAGGCCAGGCTGGATGGGGCTTTGGGCAACGTGGTCTAGTGGAGGGTGTCCCTGCCCATGGCAGGGGGGGTTGGAACTAGATGATCTTTAAGGTCCCTTCCAACCCAAACCATTCTATGATTCTGTGATTCATAAACGTGGCTCCTGGCCCAGGCTGAGTGCTGGAGGAATATTTTCTAACAGGGATGGTGTATCTAAGCTGCTTGCAGACACCTCATTTCTAGTGCACAGATCCATTGTGAACTTTTGGTGGTGTACTGGTGCAGCTGAATGTACGGAGAGTTTTGAATCAAAGATTTATGCCAAAGGGGTCTGCATGAAAAGTCTATTCTGTGTATCAATTATAAAAGGATAAAAGGGAAAATGAAACAATCTAATGTGAATTAAAGTAGGTAATGTATTAACTACTATTAATAAAATGCAATGTATTTCTGTGGCAGTAGCACTGAGGGCATCCTTCACTACACTAAAGATGGTCACTCCCTCAAACTGCAGACTAAGATGAAGGACAGCAGGTGGGTATGGCTGGGAGAAAACACAAAGAAAAACAATCTGGTAGTTGCAAGAGCAGGAGGCAGCATTCTCTGCACATGCAGCCTGTTTGCCGGTTTCAGTTGTTGATGGAGCAGAGGTTCAAGATAATATTGGAAGGGATGTTGGGAGGTGCTGTAAGAGATAACACACGGCAGTAGCTGCCCGGTGTCGGGACAGTGTGGAGGGAAGTACAAGGTCCATGTTTGCCTTAACAGTATATGCACAAGTCCATGACTGGCTGTGGTCCCGTCTGCTCCTGGACTTTTGCCTAGTTTGTAAAATTGGCATATGGGAACTATTTCAAACGTTGGGAGTTAGACATTTAGGACCAGATTTCTGAGAGCACATTAAGTTCCCTTTGCAGTTCAAGATCATTAGCACGGCTTTCAAAAGTGACTGGAAAGTTTGGAGCTTCCTTTTTCTCCCTTTCACTGCCTGTCTTGTTACATGCTCTTAGAATTTTGACAATTTTAGGTTGGTGGCACACAAGTCTTGTTACAAGTATAGGCAACTTAATAATTTGCCAGGAACATAAAAATGGTCTGAAACAGATCAAAATGCAGCTGTGTCCAATTTAATGCAAAAATGTAATCTGTAGAGATTAGGTGTCCCAGATAGCCCTGTATATGAAGGAGAATTATGTCCTGTGTCCTAGGTCTCAAATGATGAAATGTACCCTCTGAAGTCAGTCAGAATTTTGGCACTGAATTTTAATGAGGCCAAGATATAACTGGTATCTACTGGTTCTTCGTGCTAATAATGGGAGCTATAAGCAAAGTCTTATGGTCTCCCTGTGCTGCATTAGGGCAATGGTTATTCCTTAGGTTGCCACATTGCTAGATGTTACATTGTGTGCATCTTTTACTCCTCATTGATTTTAGCACTGTTAAAAATGCTTTGCGGTGTTTTTTTTTCTTTTTTTGGGGGGAAGGAGCGCGGGGGGGGGTACACAAAACAATTTTAAAAAGCCTTTGGAACAAACTGTAACACAATTAAAAGCTCCACAGAAGTGATTCAGCTGAAGCTTGTCTTCCTCTCATCTGTAGCTAACGTGAACAAAGAAGAAAGGCCAAAAAACAATGTGACAAGCAAAGTCAGCCTGTTATCATCCCTGTTCTATCAGTAAATGAAACAATGCTTCTGAATGCCTAAAGATAATCCCATGGGCAGATAGTAATTTTACAGCCAGGTTTAGATCTAATAATACGCTTGCAGTTTATATGAGATCTGTGATGTCACTTTCTCTTATCCCATCGGTTAGTGCTGCAGATGTCATTTTAATTATATATTATCTTTCTGTGGTCAGTCAAATAATTTCAGTCCTGGATATTCCACTCATTTGGCTTATGTACAAAAACATTTAGTGGTCGTGCTTTAGAAATTTTAATATATTACGTTTATTCATGGATTCAAATTATTGTAAAATGCTTTTCCCACTATTTACAGAAGAGCAAATTCACCCTGCTCAGAAGGAACAGCACAAATTTAATGCACCACTTAACACCTACTTTGAAGACTCCAGCAGGATTTAAGTGTTCAAATACCTTATCCTGATTATCTGCCCAGGTTTAAATTTTTCCCTTAGGCGAAATGTTTCCAGAAACAGGGCAGATAGATTGTTTGTTTACTTCAATAAATGATAGTTTGATAGATTTTCATTTAATAATCTGATACGCAAATCATTATTCATGTAAGAGTTGTTTTTCTATCATGTTATAGCTCAGTTCTTAACTTACGAGTCCGTTTTTAAATTATGATATCTAGATGAAGGAGTCTGTCATGGTGCTCAAAATTGAGTCTCCTTTCTAAAACTGTGGGTTGAAATTAAGGCCCCTCAGCAGATGAAAGGCCAGAATTTCAGTTGTAATCTATACCAATAACAACAGTTGGAATGTAACAATTTAAGGAAATTGCAAAACATGAGTTTTGGAAAATCACAACAGATCTGTGGGAAAATCCAGTTTTCAAAATATGTGTCCTTGAAAAAGGAGAATTGGAGAGTTCATAGAGGCTGCAACACATTCTTCTGGCATCTCCTCATTTTTCCACTCATACCGTCTGCTGTGAATGCATAATTCAAGGTCACTGATCCATGCCAGGCAGGTAGTGACCTGATGATGTTTCTGATGATGAACAGCTGTTTCTTGGTGGTCTCAAGCCATTTTGAAATGAGAGGGTGACAAAGCACAGAGAAGTACCACCAGTACTGTATTCATTGGCATCTCGGTTGGCAGTTTAGTCAATCTGGCTGGAGACCTACGGACTACTGGAATGCTTTTGGTGTAAGCGCAGAGCAGACAGAAGGAACAGCGGGAGAAGAGGGTGAAGGCTGTGCTGCCGTGAGCCACGTGGTGTAAAGTCACTGAGAAGCTGTATGGTGCTGTCAGTCCTGGTGATGATCTCGCCTCCCGTGAGCTGGTACGGCCCTGGGGTGCTCCATACTCTCCTGCGATAGGTCTAGATCAAAAGAGGTTTTTCCTCTGGTCAGCAATTGCCAGTGAACAGTTGTGGCCGCCTCCAGTTTTCCTCACTTCTCATCCTCATTCTTACCGATCCTTTCCCTGATCCCTGGTAAGTAGGCATGGGCTC